ATTAAGTTTACATTTTCACAGGTGGAATGTAACAAACCTTTCCACACTATTGTGTTCATAATGATGTTCAGGTCTACATGCAGGACAAGAATCGAAAGGAAGAGAAGGAAGAGAAGGACAATGACAAAAGCAATGAAGACAATGACAAAAAGGCTGTAAGCTCAATAACCAGCCATTTTAGGGGAAAATTAAATGAATGAAGGATGCAGGATCTCAGCTACAGCTAAAGCTTTTGATCCACGTAATCTAGCCTAATTGTTTGAGGGCTGTTGAACTTGTATGCAGCACAAATCCTTCAATCTGTTTGAATTTCCTTGCAGGCATACCTGTGTAAAAGCTGTTTCATCCAAGACAGAAGTAGTTCTTGGAAAGAAGTTTTCAGCCTACATGCGCAAGTGGGAGAAACAAAACAAACAATTATAGATCAAACAACAACTATTGCATTCTTAAAAGCCATCAATATTTACTTAAATCTTGTACTAAGTTCCTTTGGAAAATAAATGTTTGTTTTTCTTTTTAATTTTAACACAAAAAGCAGGCCACTGTTTGAAATCAACTGAACAAAAGACATACGTGTATAATTTACTGGGCTTCATTTCAGTCACTGCAACAATGGGACAATATCTTGTTGCTAAATTAAGTCCTATCATAACAGACTGTAAGCAAGTGTTATAACAGGCAGTAATGATTCCATCTCCAGTTCTCGATTGGGGTCTGGTTCCAGAACACATACTCTTTGACAGTTTTCAAACTAGCAACACATAGTTTGGACAACTTTGTGCCTGGTTACAATTCTTGTCTCTGTCTAGACAATCTGCTCATGTGCATCTTGAATTGTGCACAAAAAATAGTGCATCTGGGCAATAATTACATCAAGTTATTTCACCTTATGATTCTTCCAGATTTAAACTGGATACCTAACAGAGCAGTCACATAAGGTTAATTCGTGACTCCGGTCAGACACATATTGTACATAACAAGTCTGGAAGACTTCCTTCTGTCGGACAGTCTACCATGAGGGCAAATGTAAACAGCTGTAGGCAGTTTGGAGATACGGAGATACAAACAACCAAGTTCTTCACTTACTTCCCTCTCTCATCACTTATCACTCACTATCAATTGACCTACCATTGCTGGATCAAACGTAGAATGACTAACAACAAATTTCTGTCCTGGAGGACCGCGCATGAAAGGCGGCATTCGGCCAGGTCCTCCACGCATTCCTCTAGACCGAGTACGGCGCATACTTCTTTCAAATCTGGTAAACGAGTCAAAGCACGAGGTTACAAACACAAGAACGTCACGAACAGTTCTGTGATAGCGAATAAACACGTGCGAAGTTAGGTGAGACTAAATCGAAACTACAAACAACTTCATTTAGTGTCTGTACAACCAGTATGTTCAGAAAAGTTTATAGTAACCAAAAAGGAAGGACAGTAAAATGTAAATACCTTTAAGACGTCAAAATAACCTGCTTTTCGAGGACAACAACAACAACTTTGAAGGCGCTTGTGAAGTCACATGGAGAAACATCCGGGCACTTTATGTCTGTCTGCTGACCCAAAAACCGCAATTTCTTGTTATGTAATACCTAACAATTTGTCCTCGACTCCGGAGCCGACGGTTCGGAATCGAGCCTCGCCGGGGGCATGTGTTGTGTTTCTGGGCAAGACACTTTATTTTCACGGTGCCTCTCTCCATCCAGGTGTATAAACGAGCACCGGCGAATTTAATGATGGGGGGTACCTTGCGATGGACTAGCATCCCATCCAGGGGGAGTCGAAATACTCCTAGTCGCTTCACGCTACTGAAACCGCGATAAACTCCGGACTGATGAGCCACTCTGCTCGTATGCAGACTTTTACGAGGCTGACTGACAGATCGAGGCCAAAATATACAACCTAAGTTAGCGAAGTCAAATTCAAAAGATCTAGACAAAGCAAATTTGAATTAATTTCGACAGTCAAGTGAAAACC